ATCTTGTATTCGATAAAAGTTGCATGAGTTTTGGATCATTTTGAGAAACCCCAAAAGATTCAAGATCATTTCTTGCATTTGTAGAAGCATTCGACACATCAAAGTTGAAATTTGTAGTGCCAAGTTTCTCCACTGCCATGGCTAGTGCAAATGTAGCATCATAAGCCCATAATCCAAAAATATCTAAGTCAGCATTAACATAACTAGGATTATCCTGCAAGAACTTCCTTTTCCATCTAACCTTAAAACTATCTAACTCTTTTGACTTCGGAATGTAAGTCCTCACACCCAAAACACCCTGCCTGGAATCCATATCTAAACGATTCACCAGACTCCAAACATTAGTCATCCCATCAGTTATTATCCAAACATACCCTTCACCCATCATTCTAATCTCTTTTGCTTTGTCGGAAACCAGGGACCCAAGTTCAGGATCATATGAACAATGAAAACTCTAGTCTACATCATCATTAACTTATACAATTCTCCTTCGATCTCCTCATCGGTGACCTTTTGTGAGATATTAATGCTCCGATAAGGAACTTGAGCATTAACCTCTTCCAAGGCGTCGATCAAGTAAAGTATAACCCCTTCTCCAAACTCATTATCTACATTTATAGGGACGGCTTCTCTCCAGTCGAAGGCTTCGACAATGGCACTAATAACTTTGACCTGAAAAGAGTCGTTTTGCGTTGCTCGTAAGAAGTATGGGCTTCGAATGGAGGTAGGAGAAGGACTCGTTGCGGAGAAGGATATGATGGGTACTTGTGCTTTGTTTCAAGATCTATTACGAAGTTTGCCTGCATTGAATTTTCTGTTCCTATGATTGCTTGCACTTGGACATTCTTAATCAAGCCTAGACCTGTTCATCAAAACAAAATTTTGGTTTGGTTTTCACCTAATATAAACTTTTAAGGAATGTTTCAGTGAGTCTTTATGTTAGAGATCTATCCCTTACTCATTATTTGATCGATAAAAATTACAAAAAATATTATCAGTTAATTATTACAGTTAGATAATAATCAACAATTATTAATGGAATTAAAGATTATATGAATACATAATATTATTATCTTCATAATTTTTTTTATAGAATATCAAAATACTATCTTTTTTTTTCTTTGGTGAACGTTAAGTAGTTTAGTTGAAAATTTCATACTAAAAAAAGTCAAATAGTCAAACATGCTCTTTACAGCCATGATCCTGTTGAGGTTTGATGGAAGATTTTGCTGCTATTAGGTTAGCTTTCATGTGGAAAATAGAAACCCCTGCTCCCTCGAACTTACAGGAATGTTGGTTTTAAGACCTTAAATTGAGCCCCTAAACTACATAAACTTGTCAGATTAGCACCTTACTAACTGTAAAACGTTCGATCACCGATTATTTTATGCCACGTGGGCTTTTGTTGGAACCAAAATGGAATAATTGCAAAATTGTCTTTGAACTTTTCACATTTCCGTTAAAACATTTTCTTGAATTTTAGAGAATTTAACTAATTCAACCTATAATAAATTAAACATTGAAAACCAAAAAAACCAATCACTTATCCATAAAAAGCTTGTTCAAATTGTTTGGATTGGATTTGCTAGGGTTAGAATTTTAATTTAAATTAAAGGTGTGTTTGAGATTGTAGTTATGAGTTTTTTCTTATAGTCGGCTTTTAAATAAATATGTATTTGATAATTTTTTTAGATTACTTTTTTCAAAAATTGTAGAAAATCACAGTAAATCTATAATAGTTTTATATATAAAGACAGAAGTCTCATTTTGGAGTTTTTTTGTTGTAATTTTCACGGACAACAACTAGTATTTAATATAATAACAAAATTATCTGCAAAACCCCACGAATTGCCCTTCAACTTTTCGAGTGTGTAGAACTTTACCTTTCACCTTACAACTTTAGGAGGGTATGACATCATAAACTTGAATATCAAGAGGGTATAAAATCAAATATTGTAAGGTGAGGGTTAAAGTTCCACACACTCGAAAAGTTGAAGGGTAATATGTGGGTTTTCGCCCAAAAATTATCCAGTAAAACCAAATTTTGGTTAATTCAATTATATCATAATTTATCATTTTTATTTAAATTTAACCTCTTATTTATTTGAAGGTTTTATAAAAAAAAATTAATAACTCATTTCCTCCTTAGAAGTTACTCTCTTATGAAACTAAGTAAAACAACCATCATAAAAAACCTAAAATATCTAAATTATTAAGAAATAGTAAATATTATCTATTTTAGTAATTATACATGATACAATATTTTTTAAATTGAAATTAATAATTAAAAAAATTTATTATATTTCATTCATAATACTCTTAGAAAATAAATAATCCAACATCAAAATAAATTTCAGTAACAGTTAAAGTACAGTGCAGTTTAGTACAATTATAACTATAGTTACAGTTATAACACTTTACAATAATTTGAAACACATCGTTTGAGACTCATAAAAGGTTTTGATTTAAGGATTTGATAATCTTTATATATTGTTTTTAAGGACTATGGGTAAGCTAGTTTGGCCTTTTATCAGTTTGAAAAGATATATACTTCCTCCATGATGGGGGTTTGATAGATATATTTTCTTTTTTTAATCTTAATTAGATCAAAACATAAGAAGTCAAATTGTGTTGATTGCGTAGTGCTTCTTTTTTTTTTTTATTCAATTTTCTACGAGATTCTTTTAGGTTGTTTGGGACCTCATCAATATTGAGACACAAGAAGACAAGTAAGCTATTGGTGAAAATAATAAAGGGTTTTTTGTATTAAAAATTTTTCTTTTTTTTTTTTGACTTCTTAAGGTTTGATAGAGAAGAAAAAATAAGGTTTTTACTGTCTTATTCTTGATTTCTTTTTCATTTGTAACCGACTTGCTAGATGGTTATTTAAGTATTTTAGGATTTCAATGTGTAATTTATTTTATTTTAGATTGATAAATTTTTGTAAAATTTAAGAACTTATTTTAAAAGAAATATGAGGAGTTTAAGGACAATTTTGCATTTATTCATTTTTCTTTAAACAAAAAGCCAGTACCCAGTAGGCAAGAAATAAACGGTGAATTAACGTTCTACCGTTAGTAAGGGGTCAATTTGACAAGTTTGCGTAGTTTAGGGGCTTCAATGAGGCATTTTTAGTTCAAGGGCTTAAAACTAATATCCCTGTAAGTTTGAGCCCTAAAGGCTTTAATTAGCCTAAAAACCAGCTAGCAAAATCTGTTCGATCGGACGGTAGTTTTTGCTATTCAGTTCTGATTTTGCGGATGAGAAAACGGCATTTGGCAAGTTTCAATCTGAGCTAACAATTTTTTACTGCTTGGAACTCAAAAAATGGAAGAAATTACATTATATATTGCCACACTCAAAAAATATCATTATTTTGTAACAATAAATTTTAAGTTCACGTTCAAACCCATTAAAAAGAATGAGACTTAAACTGAAATTATTTCCAAAAAATCTAATTCATATGTATTGTATTATGTGAGAAGGAATATATATTCACTAAAAATGAATGCAGAGAGGAAAAAGAGGAACAAAGAGAACAAAGAGGCCGCACCGGCAGCAGCCGCCCCGGCAGCAGCCGCCCCAACAACATCTCCCTTGGAATCCCTTATGTTTAAAACCAATCTGGTTGTGTAGTTACCGTGGTAGGAATAAAATTCTTGCAGGGTCATGTTGATGCAACTCACCCCCAGCTTCCCAACCCACATATCCATGTCAAGAACCACACCCACACTCACTGGAATGGTCTCGGTAGCCGTCGTGTTTTGAGCCAATGCCAACTCCAGCAAGAGCAGCCTGCAAAAAACAAGAAGGCAGGAAAAATGGAACAAGTGTTTTGTAGGAATAATCTTCATTTTGTTACTTCTGGAGAATATTTTGTCAGATTGAAAGAGCTACCGTTATTTATTTTCCAATGGGTGATGACGTGGAGCGAGGATAACATATTTCAATACATGACTCGAGAATAATATTTAGAAATTATTTAATGATGTTGTTGGAGTCAGAATTATAAACAGAAAAGTGTTTTTTGTTCTGGTAAATTTGCAAGAAAAAAAAAAGGAAAAATATTTGTAAAATTATTTAAATATTTTTAATTAATTTGCTTTAGGTGTTTATGTATTAACTATCTTTGTTTGCTCCTTATTTAATAATTTTAATTATGCAATTCAAATTATATAATATTTTTTTGAGGCTAATGCCATCTATCATCCTTCTACTATTAAAAATAATATAATTTAAACCTTCTACTATTGACTGGCTCCATGTCCTCCCTCTACTATTAATTAACTCCACCTGTTGTTCCCTTACAATGCAAAAACATGCCAATGTTGTCCCTCCATCCAATGTAAGTTAATGGTATTGTTTATTGACCGTTAAATGCAAACGGGGGTTAATGGTTAGGCCTTTTTTAATCTTTTTTTTCCCACCTTGTCTTGTGGGCCCCACCCTTGCCACATCATCTCTCATAGCGTATAAGAAATCCCCGAATCACCCTCTTGTCCCTAATTTCTTTCTTCCTTTCGAAACCCAGATCAGAAATCCCCAAATCTTTCCCCTAATTTCTTTCTTCCTTTCGAAACCCATTTGAGATTAACACAAATCGAAATCCCTAAATCAAAATCCCCAACTCAGAAATCTGGGTTTATTCCTTTGTTTCGAAACCCAGATCAAAAATCCCCAAATCTTTTCCCTAGATCAGAAATGAAAAACAGAAAAATCTAGGAGAGAGTGAATGTTGACTTGACGGAGAGTGACAAAGTGAAGGAAGGTTTGTGTGAGGAGTTCTCTGAGCTTTGATTTCGGCTTGTTTTCTCTCTTGAAGGATAGTATCTTGGCGACGATCTCCTCTACCAACACCTTACTCTCCTTTAGCATGTTGTACGGAGATTTCTCCACTTTGGTTGGTGGCGCCACCTGCTCTCTTTCTTCTACCACTATTTCTTCCTCCATCTCTCTGTCTTCCATCTTTTCCTCCTTCAATGTTTAGGGCAAAAGGTACCCGTTTGCCCCTTAACTTTTTGATTTTTAGGGTTTTTACCCTCCATATTACAATACATGAATTTTTACCCTCAATATTTTCGAATTTGAGGAAATGAGGTAAAATTTAACGTCGGAGCGTCACGTGTAGCACGTGCACCGTTGACCTCCGTCAAGTATACGCATGTCAGCGCCAACTCAGACTTTTTTGACAACTTGGCATGCCAACTTGGAACCCCATGAGCGGGAAAGTTTACCTGCTACCCTTTTTTTTTTGTGGGCCCCACCGCTGATAAAGGTTT